GTCACCGTGTGCTCTCCCGAACGAACGGCCGACAGAAACTACGTTGGACCCACAGGTGCCGCGTCACGGGGAGCAGGTAAGTGTGTGTCTGTGTATGTGAGTGCGCACATGAGCAAGCATCGGCTCCGCCTGCGAGTTGTCCCCCGCTTCAGCTCATGGTCAGCTGCCTGTGCACTGAGTCCTCAGGCTTGCAGTCTCAGGCAGGCCTAGTTGAATGAATCGCAGAAGTTCAGAGTCTGTGACTGTGCTGGGAGGTGTACCATCGCAGGTCGCACTTTTGCAAGGACTCGGACTTTTGCCATCGGCTGCATGCGTGTACTATTTCGTTTTGAAGGATAGAACTAATGCACATAGAAATATGCATACGGCTTTCAGAGAGATGCTGCACTGAAATGGCCTCGACCTCGAGTGGTCGTGAGCTTGATACCTCTTCCTCTGTGGGGGAGGTGGCGGAAGGGCGGCGGAAGCATGACCTTACCGGGTCCGTTGGCGGAAGATGGAGGAAGTAAATGTTCGTCCCCCACAGATGCATGCTTCAGGAACCCATTGGTTCTGGGACCGACCAAACATGGCCACGCTGGTGGAGGATGCGTTGTGGCAGCGCGTTTCAACAACCATTAGCGGGGCAGGAGGCGCTTCGTGAGTTCTCGCCCGCCGAGCTGGCCGACTACGACGGTGAGGTCCTCCCGAAGATCTACATCAGGTCAGCGCTTAGCAGCTGCTTTTACTGTGCTCCCTGGCGAGAGATGGCGCATTTGATTGCCCCTGGCTAGCGCACGAAGTACTTCATAACGTCAACTTCCCCTGATCGGGGACGCCTGTCCCTGGGCGGCTGGGAAGCTTATATCCGTACGTTGGCAGGTGGGGGTATGAAGTATACACTTTCAAGCCGCTTCACGGTCGCGGAAAAGTTTATCTCGAAGTTTTGCGGCCAGTGCCGCCGACCCTGAAGGGAGATGACGACGACGACAACGACGACGGTGGCGTGTGGGGGTATAAGATACAGGCTTTCCAGCCGCCCTGGGTCTGGCAGCCCTGATCGCGGAAAAAGCTCATGTTCCACCTTCGCCCGCCAGCTAGCGGCTGTTACAGTCGCCCGCGCTCGCGCGGCCGGCGCGTCCGTGCGGGGCAGCAGCAGCCGCTTCGGAGAGCCCCGTCGGCGCCGGTTCCACCGCGGAGAGCGCCCCGAGAGAGCTTCTTGACAGCGGGCGGTGCTGCGGGCTCCGCCCGAATGCCCTGGGGGGGGTGGGCCAGGCGGCGAGGGTCCTGGTCGTGGGTCTGGTATACAAATTGCCTTCCTGGGAAGTGGATGTTTGTCGAGTGGCCCTGGGACATGTGTCGGGGGCAGGGAGGGTGTGGTACTCCGACAAGGCTTGATCATAGGCACGTCGGAATGAGAAGTCGGTCTGCCAGCAGGTGCCCTTCGGAAGTTTCTTGCTCCCCGATGGCCCCGAGGCACCCACAGGAGGTCAGGGGCAGACCCTCAACGCTCGACGAAGGATGTGCCCCAAGGCAAGGTACCCCAAGCAGTGCTTGCAGTAGTAGCAGTAGGAGGATGAAGAGGAGGAGGAGGAGGAGGAAGAGGAGGAGGAGGAGGAGGAGGAGGAGGAGGAGGAGGAGGAGGAGAGAGGAGGAGGAGGAGGAGAGGAGAGGAGGAGAAGAGGAGGAGGAGGGAGGAGGAGGAGGAGGAGGAGGTGGAGGGGGAAGGGGGAGGTGGAGGGGGAGGGGGTTTTACGTTTTGTACTTGCGGAGCTGGATGGGTGCGGCGGGGTGTCACCACGGTGCGGGCCCGTGGCGCCTCGTGGGCGCTTGGGGGTTGCACCGGGCATCCGCCCGGCTGTGGGCCCGAGCCGCCTCGTGGGCGCCCTGTGGCTGCCCCGTGCTCTGAGCTTGCACGACAGGCGTGGCTTCCACCGCATAGGTTTGCACCACATGGTTTACACGACATAGCTTGCACATCATATACGTTGTGACGCAGCTTTCGCCACAGATCTTACACCTGATACCGTGCGGTCGTGTGCAGCCCAGCTCACACCCGAGACCTTCCAATCCATGGCCTTCACCTCCAGTTGACACCGGCAAGCTTACACGACATAGCTTGCACCACATAGCTTACACCACACAACTATTATATGTCTCTATTGTTTCTATTATCCGTCGCTCATATGTCCTTATTCTCAACAGCTCACGCCACATAGCCTACACGACTTTGCTTGCACCACATAGTTCACATCGCATAGCTTTCACCTTTAGCGCACACAACAACCACTACACGATACAGCTTGTCTACGCAGCTTGTACAACGCATGCGGTCACCTCCGTAGCTCACACCAACAGCTTACACGACATAGTCTACATCACGCAGCCTGCAACGCATAGCTTCCAGGACATAGCTTAAACCTCACGGGCTTACACACCCAGGCTTACTTATTCTGCCACTATATTTGGCCGCATAGCTTACTCGACAAAGCGTACACCACACAGCCTACACTACATACTT